CCCCATTACATCTTTCATGTGTGAGCTAGTACATCATGATTAAATACCTCTCAATGCCTTGATTATGAAAGTTTTATTTTCATGTGTATTTCCTGCAATGCATATATTTTCTCTTAGAAGTGGGGCACTACCGTAAAAGGGTTAATTATTCACTGGGTTTTAATTTTGCTTATTTCGCTGACTGGAAAATGCGCTCAAGTAAAACCCAGTGAATATGTAAAATTAGCTTAGAACACATTATCTAAATGATAAAACTGAATTTAAAATCTACTAAATATCCCTGAATATCAGCGAAATTTAAACCCAGTGAAAATTAGTCATTTTACAGTACTTCAACGTTTTGTAATAAATTTTTTTTGAAATCTTGATATTAAATAAAAAACAATTGTAAAACTGTTATAATAAACAGCACATGTCATTTACCTAGCTGGCAAGTCTTCTTCTACAGCATGGTCCTTAATTAATCTGAAGAATATGGCTCGATTTATACCAAGTTTATCATACTGAAATAAATGTTTTAATTTTAATGTAATAATCTTGCAACAAATCCAGAATGTTTCACTACAATTCAGATAGATATTGCAATTGGAAAAACTCTTATTATACACACATGATGCCTGTGTTGTATGAAACTCAGTATGACATCACTGGAATGGATCGATACATTTGTTTCAGAAACAAGTCATTGAAAATGACACAGTTCCCATAAAATTTTTGAAAGTTCTCTTTGTGCTCGTCATATTAAAGTGGAAGGGTTGTCGCGAGCGTGTCCTTGAAACTTGAATTCCAAGATTGTTTATTTACATCAAAACACGTGTTCCTTGTAGTAGTAATATGGCCAAAAATAAAAACAGCCGTTATTGGGCCATCTTTGATCTGATTATGAAACGCACTGATATGTATGATGTATGTGCCAAATACGAATGAAAATGGTACATAAATTGTGGAAATATAGTAGTAAGACCAAAAAGTCAGATGGCTGTCAATCGGCCATCCTTGACCAGATTTTTAAACAAATTGTCATGGACATGCATCCTAACATGTATAAAGTACATGTATATGCCAAATTTGAATGAAAACTGACAGAGCACATCCAAGATAACGCATAAAAAAAAACAAGATGCCTGCCAGTCGACTATCTTTGATCCAATTGCGAAATAAATCGTCATGGACATGTATCCTAACATGTATAATCTATGTACTAAGTTTGAATGACAACTGACAAAGCGTGTCCAAAATACATTTTCAAAAAACAAGATGGCTGCCAGTCGGCCATTTTGAATCGAATCACTAAACCACTGCCCGTGCATATGTCCCACATAAGGTACTAGGCACATGCAAAGAATGAACGGAATCGGTCCACAGGATTCTGAAATATGACTCTGGACAGACTGACGCACGGACGGATGAACACACAGACGGCCGGACGGACAGACTCAGGAACTCACGAACGGTCAGGGACATGTATCCTAACATGTATGATCTATGTACTAAATTTGAATGAAAACTGACAAAGCATGTCCAAAATACAACATTTTCAAAAAACAAGATGGCTGCTAGTCGGCCATTTTGAAGCCAATCGCTAAACCACTGCATGTGCATATGTCCCACATAAAGTACTAGGCATATGCAAAGAATGAACAGAATCGGTCCAAGGGATTCTGAGATACGACTTAGGACGAACGGACAGAGACCGAATTATCAGTCCCCGTTTTCGGACTTCGTCCTAACGGGTACTAATTACACTGATATTGCAAATGGCTCTCCAAAAAGAGAGGAGAGCTCAAAGACGTGGGAAGTAAATCATAACAATCCTCATCACTGAAATAAAAATCAGGATATAATTACACACTGTACATTGAACCTATGAAAAGAATGTGTGTTCGGCCACTGTCTGTGTGTCTGTAACAATTGATTACAGCCTATGTTAGGCAGTTCCAAACACTTAAAAAACTTACCTGTCCAAGAATAAGACATTTTAGAAATCTGAGAGTTGCCAGTCTATATTCCACTGGCATTTGCGGATTCAACAGATCCTGTATGGACAACCATAGTGCTTCTATGGCATTCTATGGAAACAATATAAAATAAAGAGAAATTTAGTAAACATAGTTATGTAAAAAAAAATCAGACTTTTAGAGGAAGATACTTTATAAAAACTATAAATGCATACTTTGAATTATACTGAAATTATAGTTCTTCACTAATGGACAGCAATGTTTCAATACAATTGCAACAAAATTCAAATTATTCTTTTTATTGAATTCAGTCCAGCAACTGTAAATCA